TCTTCAGGACCGGTCGGACTACCGCCTCCTTTAAAGGGGCAGGTACCCGACCCTCCCTCAGAGAAGCGTTAACCACTTCCAAGATCAAGGTCCCAATCCCATGCTTGGTGTTGTTTATTAACCAAGATGGGCAAGGGTCCAATAGGCAAGTGGTGGGACGTACTCGTCCAAACACCTTGTCCACATCATCAGGCCGCAATAACTGAAATTCATTCATTAATTTTGGACCAGACAGTGACACTGGTATCTCCCCAGAAGCCTCTGAATCACTAGTAGAGTCTAGCTCGTGACGAATCTGAGCGATTCATCACGAAATGCTTGGCAAAGTTGTCACAACAGGCCTCCGAGGGTAGAACCAGATCTTTCTTAGGGCCAGGATGGACCAGCCCTTGTACCACTCGAAAAAGCTCCGCCGGATGGCATTTTGAGGAGGCAATGGAAACGGAGAAGGATTTCTTTTGTGCCGCCCTCACTGCTACAGTATAGGCCCGATAGTGGGCTCTTAAGTGTGTTCGGTCAGATTCATCCCGTGATCTCCTCCACCTATGCTCTAGCCGTCTCCCAGCCTGCTTCATCGCCCGCAGTTCAGATGTATACCAAGGGGAAGAGTGGGCTCTGCCTGGTGGGAGAGGATGCTTAGGAGCGATCGTGTCAGTAGCCCTAGTCATCTCCCCATTCCATAGTTCGACCAGAACCTCGACAGGAGCACCAGTCTTGTCAGCCGGAAACTCCCCCAGGGCCTTCAGGAATCCGTTGGGATCCATCCAGCTCCAGGGGCGGACCCACACAATCGGGTCCGCACCCTTACAGAGGGAGAGGCTGCTCTCAAGCACAAACCTCACGAGGAAGTGATCTGACCATGACAGGGGTGTCAGACATAAATTCCTCACCCTCAGACCACCTTCTTCCTGCCCTGCCAAGAAAACCAGGTCCAGGGTGTGTCCACGTCCATGGGTCGGTCCGAGATGATCTCCGTCAGCTCAGGCAGGGAGTCTGTTGGGCAGGAGGGTGCACGATACACCAACAGAATCCCCAATCTGTCTCGGTCGCCCAACACCAAGTAGAGGCACTTCAGCCCTGGCCTCGAAGGCACTGGAAGTCCCGTGAGGGAGATGGAGGCTCGGTAAACCAAAGCGACCCCCCCTCCCCTCCTCTCCAGGCGTGGACGGTGCTGAACCAGATACCCAGGTGGGTACATTTGAGAGAAGGCGACATCCCCCCCTCCTCTCCCTCCCAGGTCTCTGTTATGCAAGCCAGGTCGGCCCCCTCATCCACAATCAAGTCATGGATGAGGGAAGATTTATTGTGGACCGACCTGGCATTAAGCAGCAGCACCGTCAGGCCCGAGGGGCGGTTGACAAGACTACCTGGAACCCTCTGGCTGGGGGTAGAACCAGAAGGAGGGACAGGTGTCAGTCATCTGTCCCTCCTTCTTCTACGCAGACACATTAAACCCCCACCGCTGTAACGTCCATTGCCCGTGACCACCCCAATGGCGGCGCCCACACGCTCCCTAGGTAACTCAACCGTTGACATGGCCAGGGACGACTCCATAAAAACAAATTAAAATACAATAAAACTTTAAAACAGTATTAAACTCCCCGTCTAACCCCCCCCCCCGATACAAAATTCCACCCACCGACCTAGCCTCCCACCAGCCCTGCATGGCCATGAACGGCCACAAACAGTGGCGACCACCCTTTGGCTGCCGGCCCCAGGCTGCATCCGGCGGGTTAAGCCGGCGCCTGCCTGCACGCCCCACCCCCAATCCGGCGTTGCTCTCACCGACGCTGGCGGGGGGGGGAGCAGAGAGGGGCACAAAAAGGCAGCAAGATGGCAGCGCCCTCCTCCGCAACGTCAGCAGCGGCCCTGGCGTGGCCCTGGTGTCCTCCGTCCCCGGGGTGGCCCAGAGGTGGCATGCATGAGATTAATTAAAGCAGCAAAGTGCTCTGGTTTATAGGTCCAATCCAGTCCACAGAGAGCTGAGCATCCAAAATGTTGTCAAAAGGCACCGCTTCACTGACTTCATACCATCTACAAAGGGAGAGCTGCACTGGCAATCTAGTGGCAAATGTCCTCAAAGCCACTGTTGCAATGGCCTTGATTGCAATTATTCCACAAAACATTGTCCCATCAGTACAGAGGCTAACATGCTAGAAGAAGCCATCAGTTCAGATACAGGGAACAGGAAGAGGGGCTTTCACCCACACTAACAGCTACATGACCTTCTCCATGCAGGCACAGAGTCCATGAGGAATTATCAAAGTTTGGAACTGAGATATATAAAATCTGCATGAATGTCACTATGAATTAAAATAGACATTCAGGAGTCAAGCTGAATGTTGAAAAGTAAGGTGCCAAAATTGTGTGTGAAACTGCCCATCTCAGACTGGCATCCTGATTTCCAATAAATTGACAGTCCCCTGAAACACAGTGGGCTATATTAAGCATCTGGCCACAGTAGCAATCAAGCCTCATACAACAGCTCCCATCTGCATGTGGTGGGGTCCTACCTAGTCACTAATTTCAGAGAGCTTGAGTTAGAGACAATTTCAGGAGTTGGCAAAGCTAATTGAGAAGGGTGAGCTTTTAAAATGCCCCAAGAATATGGGATAACATCAGAGTGAGTAACTTTTAATAAGTGTGTAGAAACAAAAATTTATATGGAAGTAGAGGTGACAAAGGCAAGCAAGCAAATAAACAAACTGCATAACCTCTGCGAACTACTGATGTACATCCTACATTGTTCCAGTTACTGAGAAAAAAGCAAAACCTACATAACATAGGCGAAGCTTTAGGAGTAAATAGAATTACCTCAGGCACCTGCTGCTTTATATCACAATAGTGTCTCTCTCATGTTCTGTGGCATATAATCCTGCGTTGTTCTGGGAATCTTCCCTGAGACAGAGTTGTAAGGAGTTCATATTTCGTAAGTGAGTACTATGATCCCCTGAATACAGACATCTGTCATTTCCTCATTATGGATTTTTCAAAAAGCTCCTGAAAAGATCTAAGCAGGGCCTTCTCTTCCTCCTTTTGTTTGCTCCAGCCCCAATTATCTTTGCATCATAATTGTCTTCAATGACAGAATAAAACCAGCTTGTTAGCAGTAAGCACCATGTGGATTCATAACTAGGTCAAGATGCAGTTAGCAAACATATATAATAAAATTAAAAGCAGCAACATTTCCCTGACTGGGCCAGAGGCCTTGTTTCCTCATCCTGTATCTATGGAAGTTTGGATTAAATGACTCTAGACAGAGAGCACTTATTATTCAAATATCTCAGATAAAAAGCTGCTACTTTGAAGTACTTCCCCACCACCACCCTTCAGATTCTTCAAAAGGTTAAGGCTTGGCAAAAGGCAGTGGGCTGTATCCAAGTAGCCCCTCTCACCAACAGAATGAATTTGGCAGTCAAACAGGCAGAGAGGCAATGCCGCTTTTCTCCTGCAGTCACCTGCTCTCAAAGTATGCTCTGGTGAATCCCCAGGAGCAGATTTTGGGAGGGCACAGGGAGCTGCAGGGAAGAGGAAACATAGGGAAAATCCTGTCATAAAGCACTGGATTTTGTCCAAATATCTGGACAGGTATCTTTTTATCCATAGCAGCTGCATCCTCATAGAAGGGTATCTGGTTTAAAATCGGTAAAATATTACTTTATAACAAGTAGGTTAAACATTTAGGGTTTTACTTTATCATAATTAATAGAGCACACAGACGGGAATATAGTTCTGCTGTTAATAGAGAGTCCTTGGGCTAATACACCAAAATATAAGTTTATGAATGAATGAATGAATGAATGAATGAGAAGTTATATCAAAATCAGTTATCCAATGTTTATACCAGAGTCATAAAAGCAAATATCAGCAATGTACTTTTTACAAAAATATATTAATTGTTCTGCATATGGGAATTTGAAAGGAGATAGGATTGGTGTGGGGAATTGTTTTTTAAAAGCACAAGTGTCCCATCTAATAGCAGTTTATAATTCCGTCTTACAGGAGATACTGGTTTGAGAATTATTTTAACATTTTCTCATTGTCCTCATGCTGTCGTTTGAAGTATCAGAGCTTTGATCCAATATAAATCCATTATAAACCCAAGTAGGCTGGTGATCTTAAACCCATAGCCCCATAGGCAACCTACTACAAACTCTTTCTTGATCAAACCTCACACATGTAAAACAGGAATTCCATAACTTTGCTGCCATCTCCAACTCATTAGCAAGTTTTGAAGAATATTTCAAGGAAGTCCATTCAGGAGGCCCAAGAAAACCCTGAGGGATCAGACAGTAGAAGGAGACTGATGCTTCATCTGCATGTTCGCTGATCTAACATGAGCCTCTTATCCAGTCATCATCTATGCATGTGGATGCTGCATGTTTGGCTAAAAGAGGGAAAAAGAAAATGCATCAAGCAGCCTCTGTAACTGCCCAATCTTGATTTCTACAGGAACCACACCAGAGGTTGTGGCAATGGAGGAAACTGATACAAATGTAGTACAATAGTCATCTTCAGTTATATTGACTATATATATCTGAAGGTCTGTCACATAAGTGGTTTGCTGTTGTCCCTGACTCAGAGGGTATGATCAGAAACAATTGGTTCAGATTACCAGAAAGGGAATTTCAACAAAACTTTGGGAAGAAATTCCTGATGATGTGAGCTGTTTGGCAAAGGACAGTTGAAAGGTTCCCTGGAAAGGTTGTGAACTCTCCTTTGTTGGAGGCTGCATGACCACCTGTTGGGGATGTTGTTGCAGTAAAAATAATACATTAGCTGGACTTGGCCTTCCATCCTGAACTACATTTTCTCCTATAGAGTCCTAAACGCAAAAGGAGGACACTACAGAGGTACAAGGTGCCATTCCTCACAGACTCAAGGTGGTGAAAGGGGTGCAGCACAACTACTGGACCATACTCAGAAGGGAGCTGTTTTCAGAGCTGTGACAATGTCAAAACTGAGAGAGTACATAAGGCAATCAAAACTGGTAACAATACCTTGTGTCTGAGCAAGATAAGTTCAGGTGACTAACATGTAGGAGTCTTTCACAAGGCAACGGGTGGTCTCGGGTAAGCGAGTTTCCTGAATGGATGAGCAGGTTCTGTCTACACATGGACCCCAAGCTATTTGTCATCTCAACGTCCATCATGTTATTCTTCTCAGATACCAGATTACAATGTTTGTAGCCACCATTCACTGTTAGAGAAAGGAGAGGTGAAAGAAAAAAACATAATGATGAGCTCTTCAATGAGACTACTGGTGCATTTCCTTTATTCCCTTCAGCATGTTCCACCTAGAATTGGCACACAGCTTCATAAAATCAAGAACAGAAGACAACTTAATCAAGATCCAATTCCAAATGAATTACTCATTACAATCTAGTGTCACTGTTTTGCAAATTATATTGTAGCTTGAAAAACTAACCTTTCAAGGTTATTGTTTTTACATGGGGAAGAGACCACAGGTCAGTGCAAACCCTTATCTACCAAGCAATATAAGGAAGAATTTTGCAAAACAATAAACATTTCAGACTTTGTTGATCCAAACCTGGCAAAACTCTTGAGTAAGTCAAGGGCAGAAGCTTTTTTTTTAAATGTAAAATAAGAACAATTACAAATGTAAAGATGGTTTGTGCAACACTGAAAAAAAATACCATGCAATTAAATGTGCTTCAGTTCTCTTGCTTTTAATGGATATAATTAAAACCAGTGGAACTTCAGCACTCTCATTTTTGTACAGCCTTGAAACCATTTTTGCCAACTTTTGCTACACTTGAACATTTACCAATTTTAGAGATTTTCAGCAGCAATTCCGTTTTTCCCCATACTGAAAACCTAGCAAGGAACTAACCATTTTCACTCCTATTACAAAAACTGTGGTTATAGATGGCTTTACAAAGCTTCCTGGTTTTTAATTCAAAATATAAAGATAGGATGAGGTATACAACCTGGTTCCTAATGCAGGGCATGCTTCAAAAACACCAACAAAATATAGCTTGGCATTTCATTGCAGAACCTAATGTAGAGTTTGGTCTGTTGCCCATCACAATTGTTCAACTAATTCTGAAGAATCAAGAATGATCTCAGAATGTGTCCAAAGACAGTGCTCTAGCAGGGATATTTATTTCAGTTTCAAAATATTATTAGCATCTCAGTATGAAAAAGATAGCAAGCATTACTTAAAATAAATCACACTAATAAAGGTTACATTTTTAAAATGTATGCTTTACCAAAAGCGTTTTTGAAAAAAGAACTTTTCTTAAATCAGGGATCCATTCCTAATTAAATGGCCCCAATTCCCCCTTTGATGTGCATGACCTCAAGAAAATTACCTGTTATTTGCAGCTTTGAAAGAATAGGGCTATATGACCACATACATTGTGGGACAGAATTTCTTCTGCTATCTCAGCAAATCTACTGTGTTTGAATTAGTGAACATCCTGTCTGTATTTTCTGACCTCTTTCTTTGATTTTAAAACTGAAGTATACCCCAAAATACACAAAATTAAAGCTTACCTTTAACTGCCACCAATACAGTGACAAAAATAACATACACATTCATTAGGGCTTCTTCAATATGCAACATTCACAACACAAGCCTGTGGGTATTAATTGGAAGCTCACTGTGCTCAATGGATCTTGTTGTAGCTAAACCAGCACAAGATTGCAGCCATAGTTTTGGTAGTTGTTTTGGTTACTAGCATTAGTGACTTCAAATTGCTCAGTAACACATGGAGCATGAAAAAGAATAATTTCACAAGAAGCAAAGAATTCCACTGGGTTCAAGTCAAATAATATGACAGCTATTTTGAGCATGATCCAAAGACCTTCTCACAAAACAATACCTGAAACCTTATCCAGGCACGAAGGCCTACTTTTGTTTCATTTTTAAAAGAAAAACATCCTCCTTCCTTGTGCTTTTTATTCAGGTGCCTTAACTATAATATTAAGCACCCCCCAGCTGCCACTTCAATTAAGGTATCCCCACGCCCCACCCTTTATCTGATGTTTCAGACACTATCACAGCTACCACACAAATTACTTAAGGTGCAAGCCTATCCAAGTTCAGAGAAAGGAGGCCTCCGGTTTCCAGCATGCCCCAGTCACTGTGGTCCTATTTTCTGCCTAAATGTGCACAGGACTGCACCCTTACTATGTTAACTACTGCAACTAAATGTAGTTGTCTTCACTCTCATTCCTTCTAAAGACTTGGCCAACAGGACCTGTAAACATTCATGCTCTGGCCATTTGCTGGAAATGACAGACCTTCTGGGCTTATTATACTATTCTTTCTACCTGGGATAATTTTAGGTGGTTTAAGAAGACCAACAAAAGCAAACAAGTAACTCTATTAGGGCAAGAGGCTGCTCCCAAGATCTTGCCAAAAGGGAGGTTACACAAGCAGGCAGTGAAACCCAATAAACTGCTCAAAAAGCTAATACTACAGCAGAAACAGCTTGGGTGTCAGAGGGAAACTTTACCCAGAAGTTGGACCTGATTGTAATGGTATCTGGCTGGATGGAGGTTCAGGGAATTTGCCTTTTTGTACAAGAATTTGGTATCTTGTAAAATGTAAAATACATTCTTGGAAACGGGGGCTGTAGTCACTAAGCCACCTTTTGCAAACCCAAAAGGAAAAATCACCAATATATTCTGTGCAAAATACCCCTCTGATAAATTGGTTGTCTCATAGCTCATATGGACTTTTTAAATTGCTGGATCCCCTGATAACATAGATTGATTTGTGGAAGTATAGTGGAATAAGTGGCACTGGATCTCTTTCTGATCAATAGTTCTATTGAACTATTCATTTTTAATGTGAGGATTCTGTACAGAGGTATTACTTTTGAATGACAAAAATGCAAATATAAAAAATGGAGAAATCTATGGAAGCTTGCATAGATCCACTCTCTCACAAATCTATGCAAGCATTGAATGGTTCCATTTTCTCATCTAAAATGGTGGCCGTATTTGCAACATGCAGTGCTCTATACTGGATTTCTGCCCATAGTCCCTCTGCTTCTCAAGGACATGTCAATATTACTGGACTATTAATAGCCTTTTCACATATGGAATGGGTTCAGTTATTCTATACCAGGAACTGCTCCAAGAAAAATCCAAAGCAAGCCACAAGGCTGTAGATTTTTGCGTACATACTTTCCTTTTAGTCCTTGAGCAATGTAATTCTGAAATACAATAGCAATCACTTTAGCATGTTTATCATGATAGCATGACCAGAGGCAGAACTAAAGTGCAACATATATACAGAAAACACACATGCCACTGGAGGATAATTTTTGGAGAGAATTAGCAGTGGTCTCCAAATAATGCCAGCAGTATTTACATTTCCAGTGAGTAGTCTGTTCTTTCATGAAAGAGGAATAAAATATCAAATCCAGATAAACATTTTAGAATTTGGGGCAAGTAACAATAATCTAATGTTTCTAATGTAAGGGTAACATCACCTATATGCCATGTTGCCATTAAGAACATGCTAGCCAAATGGCAGTTCCAACAATGACAAACAAGCCAAGATAACAGAACATTGCCTTTGGTCCAGGAGCACAGACCCCCCTCCCCCCCCCACACACACACAGAGTGAGAATGGGAGGGAGGGACGGATATTCAGCATATATCAGCATTAAATAGAAATAGATTGAGCAAGCAACAAAATTAAGTCAATTCAAAATGCTGTGAGACTAGAACAAGAACTTTGTTTATTTTCTTCTGTACTCTCTTGACACTGCTGGCAGAAAAATTAGGCTATCTTGCCTCTTTCTCATTTTTTATCTACATACTGAAGTTTACCAAGAACAGATGAAAAGGATAAGTTCCACACATCGTATTTAATCTAATTTCATTCTATGAAAATCACAATTTTTACACTTAAGAGTTAATCCTATTTTAAAAGTAAATCAACCAATTTTTTTTTTCCAGATCAGTGTAAGAGAAAGTCAGTAAGTTTAACTGCAGATTCTTTTTATTTTCCACCCCTCAAACTGAAAGGCTTAATTTTAATAGCTACAACACCATCTTTCTTTCTATTTGAAGATGCTTCACACTGTGCAATGCAATTACTACAGCTTTACACTCTCCGTTCATTTCATGCTCTGACCTAATTATGACACCCATTTATTATTGTGTTACATTCAAATCCTGTCCTTTTACTTCTTACAAGAAACTCTCTTCCTCTATTTTATCCTAACAACAACAACAACCCTGTGAGGTAGGTTAGGCCAAGAATAAGTGACTGGTCCAAGGTCACCCAGTGAGTTTCATGGCCACGTGGGGGCTAGAACCCAGATCCCCAATTCAACTTTCTAACCACACCACAGTGGCTTTGGCATATCAATGATAAATATTTCTGCTCAAGTAAATAACTAACTGTGACTGTCTCCAATCATAACATTTGCTTGATCAAGCCCTGTGTTTGTATTCATGTATCATCACTTCATGAGAAGAAAAAAGTGAAAATAAAATGGAAAGGTAAGTAGTGAGTATGAGTCTAACTGTACAGTTCATTGTGTCAGAGTAGATAAGCTCCAATTCTTATACACAAGGGTGTGATATAGATGATACTGTAACCAAACTCCTCTGAACATAGGTAAATAAATACAATCAACTCAGCATATGAGAAATGTGGAAAATTTTGCATATTTCTTAGATGTGTGCTCAAGTGCTACAATACAGGCAATGTGGCGGATTTTGAATCATGGGTATGGTTACCCTATATACTTTGTGACTATGAGGCAAGAGCATTTCCTTTTCTTTTTTCTTCATGCAATGCAGCAATGTTTTGCCACTACTTCTTGTTTTTTATTATTATTATTTACAGAAATAGGCGTATCACTCTATTTTTGCACTGATAATGGTACTGTCCGAATTGGTTTCCAAATATATATGCAGTACATTCAAATGACTGTTTTCTTTATTCCACTAATTTTTGCTTTACTTTTGAACAATGCTTCTGTTATGAACATGCACACTTATCTGTACTACCTCCACAAGAGAGAAAAAAAGAAAGAATAAACTCCCAAAATTCATGACATTAAACTAAAGATTTACTGAATACATAGATTTCCACCCCTTATCCTATAACACACAAACAAATATGACTTCAGAGATACCACAGCATGATTTCTTGGTTTTAAAAAAGAGACCCCAAACACACCAAACCAGAAATAATCCTTTTTAAAA